GGCGGGGGGGGGGGGGGGAGAGTCTCCCGTGGGGTGGGTGCAGGGTGGAACCAAGAAGGGCCATTCTGCTCAGGCCTGGCCCTGCAGTCAGCCCCAGGGGACCCCAGCAGTAACCACGTGCCGGATCCCTCTTTATGTTTTGCCCCCGTACGACACGCTGCTTGTAAAGGTCTGGAGGAGCAGGGCGCTCTCCTCGCCTGAGCCAAACCAGCCCCAGCTGCACGGAAGCCTTGGAGCCGGAGGAAATTCTCTCTGGGATAGGTTGGCACGTGAGGGGCCAGGCCTGGCGATCTAGGAAGGGGCCACTGGGATTTGCCCGGGACACCCAGCGCTGACAGGCAGACTCGCTCCAACGCCAGGTTCCTGGGGTTCCTGGGGCACTGGGGTTCCTTGCCAGGGCCGGGGTCGTCAGGACCCCGTGGGCCACGTGCAGGCCGCCAGGCGCCTTTGAGCAGGCCGCCACGTCCTTCTGTTTACGTATTATCAGGGTTATTGTTGGGGGATTATTTTCTCTGGTGTCTGGACCTTGGCGATAGCTTGACCAAGCAGTCTGGACCTTGACAAAGAGGAATGCTTTGCCCCAGCCCCGGCAAAGCGCCCGCAGCTTCCTGGGACTCCTTGCCAAGCTTAGCTTTGGAGAGGGGACATGCAGCTGGCACAGCGCAGCCAGGAGGGGCAAGGTGCTAAGCCAGGCGCCTTCCCTAACGGCAGCATTCCAGCTGGCTGTAACCTTCCAGAGGGACAGGAGGGGCAGGCTGGCAAAGTAGCCGAGGGCTTTAAAGTCACGGCTCTTGATTTTTGAAGAGCGCCGCGGTGACACGGCCGGGGCAGGGTGGAGCTGGGAGTGTGACGGGGTGGGGAGGCGGGGGAGCGTGTGCAGCCCCTGGGTACAGAGCGTGCCGACACCGAGCGAGTGGCAGAGGAGCTAAGTCTCTGGGCAGGAAGGGAAGGTGCAGTCAGGTGGGTCTTGGCCTGGGCCCTGGGGGGGCAGGACATGCTAGAGAGAGCCCAGCAGTGGCTCCATGCAGGTGAGGGAGGCCAGGGCTGGGGGGCCGGAAGAGCCAGGTGCTGCGGGCAGGCAGAGGGAGGCGATTGCCCTCGCCGAGCCTGGGAAACTTGCAGCAGGCGGCGGTGGAAAGGCAA